TACTACGGCCTTCGGCTGTAGAATAGGACAGAAACGTACAATTAAACTGAAACGCAAAAGTGTACGAGAAAGTGTAACGCGGTACACAAACGAAGTATTAATGCTTCGTTTGTGTACCACACAAAAGTGTACCGTGGTATATATGCTTCAAATGTGCCTGGCCGCCTTCAGCCATCGTAATTGTCTCGCTAACAGTACTAGTACATTGCATGATACTAGTGATTCTTTATATTCAGAAAATCTCTTGCCCGGTTGACATATATGATTCTTTCTCATCTAGCTAGTTGATTACTTTTTGTCCAAATCTCTGAAAATCTTACATTCATCCCTACGCATTTAAAAGCGAAGCCTCATTGGTGTTTTTCTTTTCGAATAAGGCAGTCGTGAATAATGCACTATAAAGTACAAAAGCTCCAACATGCAATTAAGGTCTAGAATCTTATTTCGATCGATAGCTCACAAGTCGTTTTACAAGAGTGCAATGGATATGATGAACAACGTACAAGACCAACCCACACAACTCACATTTAGTTGACATTAAATATCAACTGTATTGAAAAAAGAGGTAAAAGAAAACATCGAGGACGCTCTCTCCGGTTGAATTTTACATAAACCTAATGGATGAAAATGACTTTTCATTTTGTTTGTTGTATATATATCTATATACAAAGGTATTGAATTTAAGAATTTTCCAGTAAAATAACACATCTGTCAGAACATCGTGGGAATATTATGTTTATGAAGTCATCACATAGGGCAGTTCACTTACATTCATTTTTCACATTTATAAAGTTGTCAAAATATATAACCATGAAATTTACAAATTGAAAAAAGGCTAGCCTAGATCAGGTCCATTAATCTCTTGGGACCTATAAACGTCAGCAGCGAGTGAGATGAAGATATGATTTCCCAGTCGGTGGCCCAGGACCTCCAGTGCTGTTGAATCGTTCGGGTGGTCAGCGCAGCGTCCAGGGGCCAGAGGAGCAAGGCAGCTTTACAATAATTAACAAAAAACTAAAATGTCAAGGGTTATTTCAAACGATCCGATATACATTAATAAAACTTCGTGTCTTAAGACTCAAATTGACATCGGGGAGATCAGAAATTAACCCTTTCAACACTGTAGACCATAATGGACTTGTCCAGATCAATGCATTGGAGAGTCTACTCAAGTTGCATAGGGGGGAAGGATTAACAACGCTTTCATTGAAGATGACAGGTCAACTTGTGAACCCCCGAAATACCACGCAATGATTAACGCACGTTTTTGTTTTGTTAAAAAGTGTTGAAAGCTTAACTTTCTTGAAATTCTGACAATGATGTATTGAGTTATATTTGTAACATACCGGCTTATACATTTTAGCTAACCATGCTTTTAAGAAAATCTGAGGAAATGTTTATACAGTTACCATGTGGGGTCAAGTTGTAAGTTTAAGAGATATATGTTTTCTACAGTAACTCGATATTGAAACCAATGAAAGTAAGCTACGTAGTAGATTCCAAGATTGTTTGGAATTTATGCATGTTACTGACTTACGTAGACGGGTGCAAAATAACCCTTTTTGTTCAAAAGACTTTACAAGAATGATTTTATTATTTTTCTTATCTTAAGTGTATAATAATGATATTTTTCGTAAAAGTCATGTTTTTGGGGGGTTTATTGGATGTAAATAAAAATAAATTTAACAACAAATATATGTCAAATACTGTAAAAAGGTTGTTAAATAACCATAGACAGTAAATAGAGTGTTAATTATATTGCTCTCCTCAACATCAAGCCAAGGGAGTAGAAGTACCCGGCGGTCTATAAATAAATACAACACTGCACCTAGTTGACTCTGTACCAAGCTATAAATATTTTAGTCTATATATCCAGCGCTCTATTCCTGACGAAGTGTTGCTACTGTTCGTCAGGACTACCTGCTGGTATAGAAACATAATACGTCTGGAGTTCACGGAAGTAGTATGAACAGCGATAAACACCCGTCACTGGGCATATTGTATTCAAAAACCGAAAAATATTGTAACTAGACTTCATATTGACTCTGCGGTTTAGAAGGGAAGTTGGTAATTTTTCTCTCTGTTTATTTAAATAAATTTAAACCAACGTAAAATGTATCAAATTTCATTCATTTAGCTATCTTCATTTCACATTAATTTCAAATCAATGCACTGAACCAAAAAAATGACACAAACTCGAAAGTAATATCCTTAAGGCACAACTTCTTGAAGTTTGTATTCACTATTACCATAAAGGAGTGCTTAGGTTTGGGCAGTGGGTTTGAAGGTTCATGAACAAGGTATCATAAATTATCACTATTTGCACTATTCTTGTGGTGCATGAACCATAGCAACACAGTAATAACAGGATTTTAGTACTGCACTGATGAGCTGCTACAAACTGGAGTGTATTTCTGAGGAATATCCTGTAATCGACACAAATGACAATTTAATCATTGACGTATGATAACATGTCAAACTTGACGGATCAATCAATGCACGGCTGTATCAACTCGTACCTCCAACTGTCGACGTTTATCACTATCAACCTTATTGCCCTTCCGAGTAAAACAATTAAGATTTTGGACTATTTTATGATGAAACTAAACACGAAAACATGTTCTTTTGAGAATCAAATGTGTAAGACGTAAAATCGATCGCAAACACCAGTAAGTACAAGGCACCTGCTAATGTCGCTGCTACGACGGAGAAGAATCCAACTGCAAGATAGATGCCCACGCAGCTATTCACCAATCAATGTAAATAACACTGTGGCATCCTGCAGACAAAGATCGCTCCCTACTAGTGTTACGATAAAAAGTATTGCCTGAAGGTAGATAGCATGCATTGTCTAAAAATTTACTCAGAAAATATGTGATGAAAAGTAGTAGATTGGTAGATAAAAAGTAGTAGATTGGTAGATAAAAAGTAACAGCAAGCGAGTTTCAATGTTAACAGAACTCCTTCACGAGTTTGAGAACGTTGAATATAACTTAATTGTCCAAACAATCAAGAATGAATTTCACTTATAAAATTCCTTAATCACATAATTGAGCGAATTAACACTGTCCATTAACACTATGATTTATATGTAAATTGTTCTATATACATTTAAATGTAAATTCTCTACACTGTAACCTGTTTGCGAGAATAAAAACTTGTCATTGTCATTGCGACAGATTTTTAATGTATCAAACAACTGTTATCTTTGTGACGTGGTCCTCTAGACAATGACGACTGTTGCAAGACAATCTTTTTGATGTTTAGATCCAACATATAATAAATATGCCTTCACTCAATGCTTGCCAGACACCATCATTATAACACATGTATTTCCTGTAAAAACAATCTTATGTCGACAAGATAAACACAAACACAGCAGGCGAAGAAAGGTTCACACTATCCCTCCTCATTTCCACAGCGACTGTTAGATGTCTGCAGCCAGTAGTGATGTATGTGGCTTTAATTACGGTGAATTTCTAACCTTGGAATGGTGTATAGTTAGTCCTTAGTGGGAAATATAGATGGATCGTTGACGAAACCTTGAAAACTATCAGTGTCCATTCCTAAACGACTGTTTTATGACATTGCAAACCCCAGCTGTGTATTACTGTGTCTACGTCCTTGGAAGCCAAATAGAATGGCGGTTTGACCCTGGCTTCTGTGTTAAATATTCTTTGTCAACAACAGTTTTTTATGATGGAGAGTGTTTCTCATTTCCCGTCTCCAGTGTTGAACAGTTGGATCACTTGCTTACAATAGAATGGGATAGCCACCAAATATAGCAAACTTTTGACCTACTCTGTTTTCCAGAACACCGATAGTTCAAATGTTGATCTTGTTCAATAAAATTCACCAGCACGTTATATTTGTCGTGGGACAAAAAAACAAATACTGAAGCATTTCTACAATTCTTAGATGACGCAGATCTTGTACACCTACATCGTCGGATACCCACGGCTGATTTCGCTTTCGTTACTCAGTCATCACAGTGACGTGTGAGTAGCAAAGCGAAATCAGCCGTGCGTATCCGTCGATCGCATACCAGTATTTTTAAACAAACATTTATGCAACATAAAACGATGATGTCTTGAACCATATTGGTTTTATTCAAAAATAAGAATAGGAATATATTTGGGGGGAAATAGGGTAGCTGCTTGATGATCGAAGATTAGATCTGGGCTAGTAATACCACAATTACCTTTAATCATTCTTCTGAACAGTAAAATTGAAAACGGTTTTACAAACTTAAATTATCTGAAGATCTTGGCTATATAATTGATTACACCTTTATCTTGACTTTTCAAGGATATTTGAGATAATTGTGAGAAAATGTTCACAAATGCTCAAATACGTCAGGGGGCACTTTGTTACAATACATAAAGGTCAATTAAATACTCCGACACTCCTCCAAATACAAAATGCCAATTTCTTATGTTTCAAATACAAATTTATTTGGACTATTACCGAACGAAAAAGGCATCCACAAAAAGAACAAATTAGGAATGAAAAAAAGGTTGCAAATCATCAAAGAATGATGGCTCATCAAATCAAGAGTAAACTGAAAATATCAAAAAGAAAATAAGTAACAAAATTAATAGAAGACAAAACCATCAAAGAAACAAATAAAAAGTATTTATTAAAGCAAATAAAACAGAATGTCAGGACTTAATAAATACATTTTAAGTAACAGCATCCGTCTTAATTAAATTATGTCAAGTTGCGGTTTTTATTGCATTTTAAATCTCTCCTCCTTTTACCCTTAATACACTGACAGACACAAATTGTGTCACATCTTTAAGTTTACGTCACATCTTTAAGTTTACGGTTGTTTTTTTGTGTTATTTTCGTGCATTTATCAAAAAAATATTTAATACAGGACATATATTTGCAAAATATATAAATTCGGTATAGATAGGAACTTCAAAACAGAATTACAACACACCGAAATTTTTAAATTGCTTACAAATACAACAAACAATATTTATATTCATATTTACCTAATCATATGTTGTCACTCGCTCCGATGGTGGACCTGTAAAGAATGACACAAAACAAATATAAAACAATGCAATTGCATTAATTGCTTATATTCTCAATTATTACGTTGCTGATACATATTTGACATAGTGCATCTGGACAATCATCTTAGTGCCAATAGGTCTGCTGTATCTCACTCCATGATTATATAAGACAACGTATGTGGGCCGCCGGAGAATTGTGTTTCCTTGTATATATTCTGTTCAGAGGACATTGAACAACGGATCAGGTTTGCTCATCATAATACCACGGAACTACGAGAATCAAATACCATTGCAGGACAAATTATTCTACAGTTCTTCTATTGACAATCTCTTTTATTGTTCCTTTAATGAAAAAAACCTGTTTCAACTTTCAGTATGAAGCAAGCACCAGAACTGAACGAACTGTGTTGTCAATGGATCTTGTTCCTACCCAAGGTAGAAGGAACCACTAGCACTAGGTGTTTTTTTCTACCGATATTTTTATAGATATCATTCCAAACCGAAGAATGTGGCAATCACTATATACACTTGATCTATCAGTTATTGTTCTGTTTTTTAACGAGCACTGTTTACTATCCCATGAAAACAACAAAGAAAAGCGCTTGACAATCCAGTTCTTCTATTTTTTTTCTTCGTTAATGGTTACTCCTCCTATCCACAGAAAAATTAAGAAACAGCACTGGAAAAAAGGTTCCTTTGATGAGAACAATTCCTACCCAAGAATGACACAATCACTAGGAGGCGACAAACCAGTCCCTACTCTGTTCAGTAAATGAACACTTCATTCTCAAGGACAAAGAACGTATCAGCACTGGACAAAGCAGTTTATGAATTGTCTCCTTAATTAAATTTGCTAAGGAAGGGAAACAAGTAACAGCGCTGGAAAAACCAATTCCTGTACATACCCTTTCTCTCACCCAAGCATGAAGCACTTGTACTATTTTCTCCAAGGAAGAAGAATGCACCAGCACTTGATCTGACCAATTGATTAAAACTGTTTCTACGTAAGAATGAAGCAAATACCAGCACTTGGTAAACCAGTCAATGTACTGTTCCCTATATATGCACTCTTCCTTACTAACGATCCTTGATCAAGGTCAACAAACCAGTCAGTGTCCTGTTCCTTAAGTAAACAATGTTCCGAATTAACAACCATTTATCAAGGTCAAATCCAAATCTAAGTTTGACTAGATTTCAAAAGAAAACCTATCTGTTGAATCTCCTACATCTCTTTGGCCAGATAAGCTCTCAGAAATCGTGACCCAGAACCACGAAATGATATACATCTCAGTGGGCCAGTTGAGCTCAGAGAGAATGCAGCGCTGACCCAAGACCGTGAGAGTAGGCCTGGATAGTGTTGCTAGAATCCCTATTTAACCCAAATACAGAGCGAAGTAATCAATATAAAAGCCTGACAGCTTTTTGAGATACATTGCTTATATCATCTAATCAGTGATTTTGTCCCTAACTTTCCTTTTTCAACCACAAACAGGTGATTCTTTTATATAAATACAGACATTTACCTGTGAAAAGACAAGGGCATGATTTTTGAAATGGGTTATTTCACTTGTAATGCGGTTATTACTAAATTTTGCATCATACATGAACACTTGTTTCCAGATATGATCACCATCTAAATAAATAAGTCAAAATAGGAGCTGGACTTATCTGATTATTCCAAACATGAGCTTTTTGTAGATGAAATATACAGTAAATCAGAGATGATTCTCAAACAGATAAAATAGGATGCATGATAACATGATTTTCCAATAGAGAAAATGTTGTGTACATAAAAACTAGGTTTTCATGAAATACCCTCCAGGGATCAATAATACAGAGAATTCCTAATACAGAAAAATATATTAATTCAAAACACGGAAACAACCTGATACAATACAGAGATTTGAACCAATGATTATACTAACAAGGCTTTTCTGCCTGTTACTACCATAGCTACTTGATCTGATGCGGTATGTATATAGACAATGGGCTGTCAATCTGAGTTGAATGCCTTGTACACTTTCAGGGACACAGATAAAGGTCTGTAGTGTTGTGTCAATAATCACTGATAAATTACCCAGGGTATACTATATCACACAGGTACAAAGGATTGCCGTGTACAATAGATAGGGCACCTGTTGAAAAGCCAGCTTCTCCCATCACCCAAGGTGGAACTCAAGTAGTTTCACAGCGGGTAGTAAACAAACAAGCTGTTGATAACGGATATAATAGCAATTCCTCAACTGTTAACATAGGACCTGATAATTGATATTCTTAGTCCCCTACATCGGTTACTATAGCACTGGTACCCATACCTCCCTGGCACTGTATCTCCTATACACACAGAGCACACGCCACATGGCAGCTCTTGGGAGACCCCTGGCAATATTTATTGCAATATAAACTTTTCAGGTTTAGTGCATTATAAACTGTTCACCTGATGATCCCCAGTGGGGGTGAAGCCACTTGAAGACAGACTTTTCCTCATTTATCTGAGGATTCATCAAGTTAATCACATTCTTGGCTCTCGCCACAATATACCTTGTTGCGTGTTAAACAAGGGTTTATGTAACCAAAATATAATCAGATTTAAGTGGCTGATAGTACAGGAATCCCACAATGTATTGGGTTTAGGTTACTGTGGAAGAAAACCACAATATACCTTTTGTAGAGTTAGTGAAAAGATTAAGAGGCCTAGTAGGCCTGTATTGCTCAACTGTTTCTTTTTGATTTGTTATCTGAACTAGACAAGAAGTGTTCCTGCTAATCTTGGACCGTGGTGGTCATCTCAGATTTCTTATAAAGGACAATGACAATCATGTATGCATACAACATTTGATTAAAATTATTCCTGTGAGATTGAAAATTAGTTAGAAATGCTTTGACCTGTTAGAGGACAGTGTGACAATTCCTGATTTTGAGTAATGGCACTGTGTGTCATGTTTGGTGATCATTGGCTTAGAGGAAGTTCAAATCAGCAACTAACTAAGCAACTGATTTTAGTTAACACTACCCTAGTAGAACAAAATGGGTTTTTTAACCAACACTGAATCCTGCTCTTTGCTCATTGAATTTAAGATTGAATTCCCTTAGCTCTAAAAGTCTCAATACTAAATTTTCAAAATCTGAAGCTGTTATGCTGAAAAAGCTGAAGACAGACAACAGACTCTGTGGCGTCATGCAAGGCATAGCTGGTCACTGGCCTCGTGGGCAAGGTAAGCTCACAATACGACAACTTGATGGATCTTGGAGGAAACACCTACACATCTTGTATACATGTCTCCCAACAGGTCTTCATTTTTTAAGATCTTCGCCACTACCTACTAGGTATATATAAAACTTGACAAACAGAAGGCGGGATGGAATAAATAACCCTCTATTCTAGTATGAAGGTCTTACTCTGGAACTCTAAAACCAGCTGGTGTGCTTGTAGCTACATCCATCACAACCGTAACTATCCCCGTAATTGAAATCCAAAGTGCGAAATGAGTAGGGAGGGGATGTTATACAATTTCTAAATTCTGATTAGAAAACACTATTATTAGATCTAGAGTCCAGTTTCTTTTAGAGCCTATCTGAAAATTCTGGCAAAAAACTTTTAATTAAGATTTTATTCCTCAACCCTTTCACCCCTATGTAACTTGAGTGAACTCTACCATGCATTAATTTGGAAGAGTCCATTATGGTCTACAATGGTGAAAGGGTTAATTACTGGCAAGAAATAAAATGAAACTGACATCAACATTTTTTTTAAAAAGGTCATCCATTTTTGGCATTATTGATCTTGAATTTAAAAAATAAATTATGTCAATTATGAGATAGAAAACCTGCAACAATTAATGCATTTTTTCATTTGTATCCATTATTTCTATGATACACAAATATGACTTTCCAAGGAGTCATAAAGTAGTTTCTATTTTCTAATAGATTTTTCTATAGATGGAAATATCAGGTTTTACTTTTTATTACATACCAAGTCCCTTTCTACACTCATATTGTTACGAATACAAGACAGTACACGTAGTTGGAATATTTTTATCATTTCTATTTCCATCTTCTTTTTCTCTCTCGAACTGATCCAAACAATGTTGCATTTTATAGCCAAGAAAATGACTGGATACCTCTCATCCTTGTCATACTTGCCAACTTTTTGAAATTTCTAGGGGGAAATTACGCGTGCTCAGAGTTAGAAGCATGTGAATAGAATAAATGTAAGTACACCCTAGGGGAAGGTAACACTTTTAGCCGACATCTTTTGAGCTCTTCTTTCAGATGAAATCATAAAATCTTAGGAAATATCATAGTCCAGCAATTCACTGGTTGAGAATGCAGAAATGTAAGGGTCCAAAGCCGGGAGTCTCCCTCCTAAATAGGGAGAGTTGGCAAGTAGGCCTTAAGCTTTTCTTATAGATTTCATTGTTCTGTAAATTTGAAAGGATAAGGGTAAATCAAATCTATTTTGCAACAGAACAAATAAATAGGTTATTGACAACAGTTATTGATTGTGTATCAAAGGCATTTATTTTTCCAAAAATGTTATGCTTAACTCATTCAACCCTGAAGACACATTTGAACCCATCCAATTCAAAGGTTGGAATAGTTCATTATGAAATTTCAGGGGTGAATGAGTTAAGATCAATGCAAGAAGTTTGATTTCAAATGTCCATATGCTGCCCACAACAGACACTGGAAAAAATTGAAAATCCTCATTCTATAAATAGATTACTATAATGAATGTAGCGTATTTTCTTTTCCTGGTACCCCGGTCTATCAACAGGAATATCAATAAGTACAATTGAACATTCTGCATATTAATCAAATCTCCATCAATCAACTATTGCACAAATTAGTTCCCTTTTTTGGGGGGATATGTAAGTTAAAGCCTTTCACCACTTTCCACCATAATGGACTCATCCAGATCAATACATGGTAGAGTCTAATAAACAAGAGTACCGCATGGCGGAACAATATACGCCCGTCGAATGCCATATAGGGTTATATACTTTCTTAC